TGGGCTGGCTTGGGGTCTTCCTTCTCGAATTGTTCTCTCAAGCGAGTTGATTATCGGTATGCTTGCTTCGCCAGTAATGATAGATGATCAACAAGTCAAGCAAGGATTTCCCGCATAAGGCACTAATATACCGCTTCCGTGAGTCATAGTTCCGTCTCTCAAGTTCTTAGTAGGGGTACAAAACGCGATCATAACGGAGAAGTCGAGACCTAACAAAAGAGGTAAACCTGAAGTCTCGCGAAAGACTAGGTCATTACTGAACGATCCCTGTTTACTAAGAAACTTTAGGGTGGATTCTAACGAAGGGGGGGTGTTCATATCTAAGTCCTAACTAGAGCCTATAGCAGTACGAAGTCGCTTACGCCGAAGGTCGATTGAACATGTTCGGGTGCATACAAATGGCGGGTTTGACGGACGAATTCATTCCCATGTAGATAAATACAATAGATGGAAACCTAAGCAAGTAGCAAAGCACAACCCCTCGCAAGTTGCTGCATCGGGCTTTCGCCCATTTATTCTATACCAAAAGTGAATTCATTTGCATACGACATTCTTACGGCACGAGCAAGGCATGAATCATCGTAAGGAAAGGGCTGGGGGCTATTACGTGACTGATCCCGCTCTATCTGACATATCGTAAGAAGGGGTTCTACTTAGAATGGCTCTATTCCATCGTAGTTAGCCAAACATATCGAGATCCATAAGAACGACCGGGTGGTCGAAATCCTGATACTACGGATATAGTTGAGTAAAAACTAAGGGGTATTTTGAGGACAACATCAATCTGTGACTGAGATACCGACATTGATGAATCGAACCTATAGCAATGCCGCTCTCCTTGCCCGCCCCATCCGCTCTTAGTCAGCTAACCAAGAATCACAGGAATTTTCCCTTTCATCCGTCCCTTCTGAGATTGGTTTTCCCTCCGCTTTAAACGTCTTTTCCCCGCCTGTTCAAGGCACCTTTGTATGAAACTTCTGCGTTGCTATTGGCCCGTCCCTTTTCAATCCATGATAACTATCACGAAATATTGAATCCTCATTCTAATCTAGGTAGTCCTCCACTTCGAGTCGAATAGTAAGTAAATCCGTACCCCAGTCTATTCTTTTCTTCCCCCGTAGCGGAGAAGGTTCTTTTGCTTCGAATCTTCGAGGCAAGCGAATGATAATCCTTGTGCTATAGTGCTTGACTCAGTCTCTCCGTCAGTCCTAAATCCTTCTCTTAGCTTAGTCAATGTCGTAGTATGAAAAAAAGGAAAATCCTTCATCTTATTTGATCTTTTAAGCTCTTTCTCAGATAATGATGATATTCTTAGTGTGTGAAGTCGATTCTTGCTTGACTTCTGGGCTCACCCGAGGCGAGGACTGCTTTCTTTCTTGCTTTGTATCGAGGGTATGTGTATGCGGTTGTAGTACATCTTCTTTATTGTTAGAGGTTTCCTTCTCTTATTGTCTTTGTGGCGGGAAGTAAGATGAGGGGAAGCTCACATCTGCGATAAAGACTTATACTACAGTTTGGGAACTCATGTCTTCTCGATCGCCTTCTTGATTGTTGCATTGGTTTAGTCAATCCGACCGGCGCACTTGCTTTTGTTGTAGTTTGTTAGTCTCCTTTGATTCGTAAACCAACCGGAGCAAGAACTGAACAGAGGCTTCAGTCTATGAGGCTTCCTTTTCTTCCTCTAGGTCTTTTCTTAGGTAAGGAAAGATCTTTCAAAAAGAGAATCAAGAGAAAGCGCTAGAACCGATGTAAGTAAGATCCGCTACAACTAGAAGTCGATCCGGTACCTTCCTCAGGGTACTCAACAACTAGAGTCATCTCCCTTTCTCCTTTTAGCTTTAGTCGGTCGAGTAGCTTATTCGAACGTTGTGAACTCATTCCTGCTTTTGCAATACCAGCGCATCTTGTGCCACAGAATCGGTTGTGCTCTGCCTCTTCCCCTCTATCAGAAGATTGCCTTGTGTGGAAGGTTGACTCTGAACTTCAGTCAATGGGAGGAATCCCCTTATCTAAGGTTCTTTGTATGGCACTCTAAACTCTCTTTCTTACGCGAGACAGAAAGTGTAACTACCGAAGCTCTTTCAACTTGTCCTGTCTTTGGATAAGTATTGCGGTTAAGTCAGTTAACAAGATGAGAGTCGGAAAATTGAAATAAGAACTGTCAAGTGATTCTTGAATGCTTCTACTTATGTAGATGGAGTCCAGTACGCTACTATATATACTGATAATTCCCAAGACAATATCGGGAGTACCCATCTTATGTGATATGTAACTAGATCGTCAAACTCTTTCCCGCTATACCCAGCCGATTCTCAAGGACAAAAGGTATAGCATTACATTTTAACAGACAGAGGAAAGCTAGGTCTCTACTCCTTCTTCATGAGGAAGAAAGGCCTTGTTATCATCTAGATCGACGTAAGGTGCGTAGCGGTGTAGAGTCCAACTAAGACTTCCATGAAAGGTCTCATTCATCTTGATTGAGGAGTTTCTTACTGACCGCTAAACCTTCTCTACTTTTGAAGATAGACTGGAAAGCAAGCTCAGAGAATATCAAACTGGAAGTCAGAGAAGTACCATGCATGGTTGCCCCCCATCCTTTCTTTCTATTAGTCTCACCCAGCAAGCCACCCCAACCCTACAGCCAAAAAAGGTAAGCGCCTAGCAAGAGCGTTATTTATTAGTTTAGTAAATTCAAGTTTTGGCTCCTTCAAGACTAAATAAATGGATAAAAAAAGGGGGGGACTTATGTAACGGTCTTTGCCACCAAAACCAACTAAGGGAAGTCGCATCCGTCCCATCGCAAGCCCCTACAATGTCATGATCATATTCATTTACCCTAGTTTCTTTGGTAGTTTAACGTACGGTCGCCCCTCCAACAAGAAAAGGTATAAATATGGAAACTTCTCTGCCATTTGGATCGGAGAATTTATGGAGGAAATCAGGTTTTAAATTCCCAGATACCGCACGATTATATAGACAAAGGTAATAGGTCGCGCCTAAAATCATCCCAACCGCTGCTAATGTGGCAACTAAGCTATTTCTTTCGAAAGCTCCTACTAAGATGAGAAATTCCCCGAGAAAGCTGCTAGTACCAGGTGAACTCATATTGGCCAAAGTGGAAGAGAAGAAAATGGTAGAGAGATTCGACATGGTGCTCACTGAACCTCTGTAATATCTAACAAGTCGAGTCTTATGTCGGTCATATAGAACACCAACACATAGAAAAAGGGCTGAAGAAACCAGTCCATGACTAGACATCGGTAGAATGCTACCTCCAATTCCCTGTATGTCCGATAGAGCCAAAGATTCCTCCCACTGATCGGAGTACGCCGATTACCCCCGAACCATACAAGATAGTTACTACCTATCATACCGCTTTCTAACTTAACTTCTTTTTCTGGTCATTCCGCTTTATCGATCGATGGTAGTATAAGAGATTTGTAACCCCCCGATATTTTTTACATAATGGCTCATGCTTCTTACCCATAGTTATCATGTATCTCCCCTGGTCATACTTTAGTATCACCTTGTAGACCCCCACCCCAAACACTATCTTCTTTATCAGTGAACCAGAACATAGTGCATAGGTACTCTTCGATGCAACGGGGACGAGATGATATGACATACTACGATCAAATACATAAGTGCTGTACTTCGTCTCGGCAATATGAAACCTCTCAACAGCTCCCATTCTTTTATGTGGTCCTATAGGGATGGGTAGGCCCAAGTCTTTTCCCTCCCCCCTCTCTCCATAAGACCCTCTTTCTCTTTCCCTCTCGGGAAAGATGATAAGAAATGATTCATTTTTTTCTCTAATGTTAACGACCCTATCTTGTATCGAAAAGTTTTTCGTGCTATACACCACGTTGAGAAAGACCAACCTCTTATGTACCATACTTTTTTGTACCTCGAAAAGGGGGGTCCTCCTTATGATCTACGGACGGCTGTCCGAAGTGCAAGGGATAAACTCAGATAGGATAGGATTGTGCACGTCGGGCCCTTCGGGTCTCATATTTTGGCCGACTTTACCGTATCTCCGTCCCCTATGTTAGGCGGCCGTAATATTTCGTTACATTCTACCATTGTTATGGTAGAATAAAAGGTTCCCCATGAGCTCCCGTTCACCAGCATGGTGGCAGGACATCTTGGGGAGTGGCTCCGGGTATAGATAGGGTGAAATCAGTAGGGGTCATGCAAATACATAGGCCCCTTCCCATCTCTTTTGGATGAATGGGGTGGTTTAGAAGGCGTTTTGTGATCTACGGCCCCTCGGGGAAGGGTTAAGCAGGTAGTAAAGGCCCTCTTACTTCCAGGTATGTGCTATGCGGCTCCCGAGAAGCGAATGAAGGGAAGCTCTTCGAGCTTTCGGGTTAGCTTACGCTTACTCTCAGCCTAATTGATTATAGGCGGGCAGTCTTAGCCCCCTACTTAAGATTCAATTCATAAGGCTAATTTTATGTTGTCGTGAGGCTTTGGTTAGGCCGAGTACTATAGACTAGCTACTTCTAGCTTTTATACTGGCCCTTCCACTTCGGTGTAGTTTTCGTTTGTATTGGTACTGAATGAACATATCAAACAAAGGCGAGCAGTATAAGGCCTTATTCATCCGGCCTGGGAAAAGTAGTGAACTCTAGAAGCTAGGGCTTTGTTCACCTTTGGACACGAACACTATTGAGTTCTTAGCGGAAACCCGCCTTAGAGATTGAACGACAATAAGATAATTCAACGTTCAATCTAAGATAGCGCTGAGCGCTGATAACTTGTAGTGAACATCCGCATTATGAAACCAACCCAAAGCAGCCTTTGGTACTTAAGTAGTTAAGGTTTGGAACCCTTGCAACTATGATAGAAAGTCGTTTGCTTGTTGCCAAACCCTTCGCCTTTCTTTTGAATGAAAGTAGGTCGTGATTGTTGTATTTTAGTTGGTGGGGGAAGCGGTAGCTTCGTGCTCCGCTTCTTTTGCGCTTGCTTGCGTAAAGGCTTAGAGCTGATATGCGGCTACGGCTAGCCGATTATATTATTCCATAAAAAAAAACTATATGTATAGAGAGATCCTCTAGATATATAGATAGAATAGATGTTCATGGATAGACAAACATTCCATGTATTCTTAGTTTTTGGGCTTAAAAAGCTCGTCAATCCAAATGAATCATTCTTCCGGTCTCTCTTCGCTCCCCACCCTGAAATTGACCCACGACACAGCACTCATTCGCTACGCGCGCGAGAAGGCAACGAAGTTCAGTTCATGAGACCACAACAGCAGCGACGTGGAGCAGCCGCGACACTTCCTTACTGGATCTCCTGGTGGCCACCTAAACGGTAGGTAGGCGGTGGATGTGTGACGTTTGGAGTTGTCGTTCGTGAACCTGTCCCCAATGGAATAATTAGTGATTTGTTCGCCTGCAGATCATAGCCTTACCACTCGGTCCCCGATGGCCAGCGGGGATTATATAGCAGCTCAGGTTCGTTTGCGCTGCGCATTCCCGCTGGAATAGACATATGTTAGCTGTAGGAAGTATGGTTCCGAAAGTGACTTCGGTTCGCCAGTTCAGGCTCAACTCCTCGCTTTATGTTAGCGGACCTACAAGTTGGGCCGGGGCTCTACGCTTTTCTTTCTGTGTGGGACGATACCGGGGAGAGAGGGGAATGCGTCGAGGTGGCGAGCAAGACAACTACATTTTGGCTTTTCCCTCCATGAGATGAGCCCAGTGCATTGGACCGAAGGACTAGATAACTGAGCTGGCCTAAAAAGCGCTTGGGCGCTCTACGTACGATGTAGACTCTATCAAATACATATCGATTTCTTTCTGATGGATCAAGAATAGATAGTTGTCTCATCAATAGATAGAAATAAGAGATTTCCCCTTTATTTTGAGAGATTCCATCTCTATCTCTTTCGATCTATCAGAACAGATCAGGTTATCTATCAATCGATTTGAAAATAGCACGCTCATCTCGCTTTTCGTTCATTTTCGCCACGAAAACATAGCAGTCATAACAAGAAGCAGGCGAAACAGCTAGAAGTACTCGCTTCACGCCCTTGAATTATTATTCACGAATAAATGTGAAAAGCCAACAGGAAGATTCGATTCTGACTTCGTAGAGCCGGTGCTGTTATGTCTGCGCGTACGGCCGTCCCCGACTCCTGTCCCGGGGCTCTAAGGGGCTTTTGTTTTTAGAACAAACGACAGTGTTTTGCTGACGCCTCGAATCAAGCTTTTATAGCAACTTGCTATGCTTTCTCCCCTATTGCTAGTAGATTGATGGGTCGCGCGCCCGACACACATGTTTTGGCCTTGTGTGTCCATAACTCAAAATAGGTAACCTAACGGACGTCGCCCGACTAAACATACCAATAGTCACCAGATTCATATGAGCTACTGAGGAGTAAGCAATGATCTTCTTAAGATCGATCTGCCTTAAAGTGGTCGAGGAAGTATATGTTATACCAATCGCGCTTAAAGTATTAATGAAAGGAGTGGAACAAAGTCTCGCTTCGAGAAACATGTGCATTGAAAATCTTAAAAACCCATAGGTTCCTAATTTTAAAGAAATTCCTGCCAAGATGATGGATCCTGCCGTAGGTGCCTCTACATGAGCTTCGGGTAACCAAATATGAACTGGTACCATAGGCACTTTGACGGTGAAAGGGAGAAGCAATCCATTGAAAGATTTGGCGCCGCTCACTAAATTCTGTGGTTAATGAGTTTGTAAATTAGTTGTTCCTGTTTGGTAGAAGAATCAATAGAATAGCTAAAACATAAAAATAGATCCAAACAAAGTATAAAGGAACAACTGATATGCTGCCTTGATCTTTCTTTGTCTCGAACCCTATACCCCTATAATAATGGTAAAGTCAGGGGTGGCCCCAAAGCGGAATTGACCGGTGGTGCTTGGTCGAAGCTCCAATAGGTAGCCACTCCCTTCTCAGAGAACCGTACGTGAGACTTTCGGCTCATACGACTCCTATCCCGAGCTTACATCGTCGGACCTTGGAATTAAACCACTATCTATGCATGTGTTTTCACCCGGACTGACGAATGTTTTGCTTGTCGAGTGGTGTCGAACAATGGTGCTTGCGTTGCGGGAAGATGCCCTCCCGTAGGGTTCCGGCCTGCTTCCCGCCCGAAAGAACCGCTCGCTAGCTAGCCGGACTAGTGGGGGCCCTATCTGGAGACATACTGAAAACCATGCCTTTCGAACCAACGCAATGCCCGTCTTCCAAATAAAAAAAAGGGCTCGTTGGGAAGAAAGATTACGTGGGCCTGTAGAGCACATGTAAGGCACAGTCGGGTTGCTCACTGAGCGGATCACTCTCTCAGAGAGAGAGAGAGGTGTGAAAGTAATAGCCTTATGTTATGGCCCCCCCCGACTTACGGCCTTTACGCTACTACTATTATGATGTGAGCGGTTCAATTGGTTGAATCTTTCTCAATCATCCTGGCCGGAACTTGTATGCACACTTGTACGGAGCATAAAGGCTTGGAACTCTTTTCTTATCTGAATCTTAAGGACAGGACCCTACCCTATTCTCGAACCCTCTGCCGAGGTCTACCCTGCCCGCATTTCCTTGTGTTTTGAAAGGAAAAAAAAATCTCTCTACCTGCTGCCAACAGTCTTTCTTCGGAATTATCTGAACGGGTGATCCTCCCATCCCGTTTGTTTTAGCAACTTATCCTAAGGTCTCCTCGCCAAGAGCTCCCCGGCGACGACAGAGGAAGCAACCCGTCTGCTGTGGCGGGGCGGCTTTTTTCTTTCACAATAAGACCTGGACGATTATCCCTACCTTCGGTAGCTTACGAGTTTACGTCCATCCCTGGTCGGGTACATTTCCTTTCGATTTCTCCCTGTAGCCGTTACCCGAATTCGCGCAAGTGTGTCCACACCCCCCAAACTTACTTGACGAGGAATCCTTTCTCGGAACAAACACAACCCCTACACACACCTAGGAGCACCCCCTCCTGCATATCCATACAAGACCCGAGTAGGCGGGTCGAGGTCCTAGAGGTACCCACTACTCGGAGTACCCTCCCAAAAGGAAAAAGATGTGTCTGTCAGGTTCGGTTCTTCTTAGTTGGGTTGGGCGGGTTCGACCAGAAATGCTATGCTTACACACAAGACTACCCCTCTTCCCGAAAGCTTCGCGGGGACTACTTTAGGACGACGGACGACCGCCCGTAGGGGGTTTACTGCACAAGGCCCCTGCAGAGGAAAGGCTTTATCCCAGCGAATAGAAGATACTCAGCTCCGCACAACATATTAGACACTTTCGGGAAGAACATAGAATAGTAGAAGATCCAGCATGCAGAACACGGCGATCATTATAAATTCACGAATTAGAAATGCTGTAATATACTCTTTCCCATAACTTCTCATACCAGACCAACCCACTAAAATGCAAATAGGGATCAGAAATGTGGTCAATATCACGAAAATAAAGAGATACCGTCTATACCCAAATAAAAATTGATGTTTTCATAAGAAGCCATCGAAGGCTTTCCACAAATTGAGATTTGGCCGTAGAAGGATCGAATTGTATCCGAAGAACAGGGGGATACAAAAAAGTAATAAGAGAGGCGCACAGACCAATTAATCGTATCGGTCGTATTCTTGAATTTGGAATGAAAAGAGGAGTAATGCTTCCTAGCACGGGACAAAGAATAAGACCACTTAGATCAGAATAGCATTCACAGAAATGTTCTAACATAGAGTAGAATCGAACATGGAAGAGATTCATTGACAACAGTAAAAAGATGGGCGCCTAATTCCAATACAATAGGGGTCTATCAGTGCAAGTCAGCTGAACACCGTGATTGATGATGGGTAGGTGGGTTAGGTGCACCTCTCGCCCAGTGGGAAGTAATGAGGCTAGTCTCCCCCCTTTCCCCCTGTCCGTGTGTGGGCCACCCTTCGAAAGGCGAAAAAGCGGGAGAACCCACTTAGACCCAATAGCGGGCAGCACGGCACCCTAAGATAGGGCACGCTCTGCTGCGTGCCATCCCGCTCGACCTGGCCCAAATACCTATTTAAGGTATTCTCAGAGAGAGCCGCCCCACCCCTAGTAGGGTGGTTAAAGAGGAGGTTGCGGATTTCTGACCTCCGAGCCAGAACTATCTGGGGGGGAAACCCATCCCCCACCAATGCGGCCTCGACCCTCTTTTCCAAGAGGAACTGCTTCTCCAGGATACCCAAAAAGAGTGGGAGGTGCCTGGGCTCGTTCCTCCCGATAAAATAGAAGGACAGCCGGTGTTGAAGCTCCGCTCTCCTTTGGATATCAGGAAGGAGAGGGCGTTCTAATTCCGGAACCAGAACGGCGCGCGGAATGGGCGCAACCTCGGGCTCGGGAATGTGCGGCTGTGCTTCTCTCCCAGGAGGGTAAAAAGGGCCAGACGGGGAACCCCTTCCCGCGTCGCACGCGGCAAGGAAGCCTTCAAGAGCCCCGCCCGAATAATAATTCAGAAATAGGAGAGGGAGAAGAACGAATACCAAAAGATATTTTATACTCTTTGTTTTGACTCCTCGAATAGAAAGGGTAGAAAAAAGGAAAAATAATAATACACTACATAAGAAAAAGCTGGAATTCGATCTTGGAAATAATCGACTCAAGCTCATCATACCCTTTTTTGTGACTCGACTCAAGCTCATCATAACCCTTTTTGTGACTCGACTCAAGCTCATCATACATAATTCGATTTCCTCTTCTTCGTGTTCTATTGATCAGAAGCATCCAGCAGCGCCTCGCCGGTTTAGAATTCGAACACAAAATGGCCATACTTAAGCAATTCTTCTTATTCTTCTTCTTTCTTAGTTGAAGTTCCCCTTCTCCGGCAGCTAGTTCAATGGTTTCTAAGCTGGACGACTGGTATTCTCTGGATGGACGGTAAATCCAGGTATGCTGCTGGTCCTTAGAAGGACCAAGGGAATCCTGGTCTTCTCTCCTAACGAATTTCCCCTTTGCTACTCCCTTTCGCTACCTGGAGCCAGGTTTTTTCTTATTATAGATAACGTACGCACAGGTGATCTATCTAATTAATGGACTAGCTTCACTAAGACTCATTCGATCTTCTATAGCGACTTTCGGACCATTCCATTCATTGTCTTCTTCTCAACCTCTCCTCGGTCACTGAACTGGGTTACTGAACTCCACCTTCTCGGAATCCCATTTCAGAAAGTCAGGTCGAAGGCAAATGGATTCCCTTGCTTGGGCAATAAAAAAGTCTATGATTCTCATCTCGAAAAAAGAGTTTAAAGCTACGGCACCTCCTATAACTACACCACCAAGACCGGGTAACAGAACAGCGGCCAGAGCAGCAGATTCCATAGCCGCGGTTCTTCCTCCATCAAAAGGCTCTGAGCCTGCTACGTAGCTAGGCTACGAGATTGATTCTCTGATGATAGAAAGAGAGAGGATAGAGGATCACGCTTACAAGCAGCCTTTTCCATCGTCTTTCGCTGACCCTGGTTCTATCAAACCCGCTTCTTCAATCCTGGTGTGAACTTCTTCCTGCCTTCTTACCCAAGAGCTCTGATTCCGCTTAAATAAAAGCAGCTCTTCTTCCTTACTCTTTCGAGTAAGCATTTTGAAACTTCCTTAAACATCTGCTTCAAAGAGCTAAGCCCCGGTCTCACTGAACTGGGTCAAAGAACTACCTTCCTGGAGCTACCTCCTTACTTAGATCGTTCGTTCCCCAATTCAAACTCGGATCAGTTGGCAAGTGGATTCCGTGCCTGGGTACGAAACTCTAAACGCAAAATTCGATCATTCAAGTCGGATAGCATTTATCTACGCTAGGATCCGACCTACATGAACTTCTTTCTTCTCTTATGATATTTCTAGAAAGCGAAAAAAAGAAATAATGGGGAATAGAATACAAGTGTTGAGTACCAGCTTCTACTCTTGTGAAAGGTGGGCCTGACCTCTTCCTTTCTATTTAGAAAGTGAAAGTCCTTGCCGGTGTGACAGTATGAGTAGACGGTGCTCTTCTCTTTCCGGGTTCATAATCGGTGCTATTGAATCTGCAGTTAAGGGAATATCGCCAGTTCTTTGAAAAAGAGTTCCGCTCAGGAATCCCTTTGAGGGAGGTTTAGCCTAGCCTTCAGGTCCTATAAAAAAAATGGAGCTTACCGGTTTATGGAATTGAGAAATAGATGTCCTACCAAGGCTGTATGGAATAGAATGAAGGGTTAGGGTTCTTGCGGGAAGAAGGACAAACCGGGCCCCTAGTGGTCCTTATCTTATCACGCCACACATGGAGACATCTCAAATAGGTAAATTGGTTTGGGAAGACGGGGGAAAAACATCCATCGTTTAGGTTTCTGAGTAGCTAAAGTTAAGATAGAATAGGTCATCACATCCTGGGGTTGAAGAATGAGCAGCTTTAAAAAGGAAATGGCAAGCAGGAAGGAGAGTAGTAACGTCGTATTATCCATCCGAAGCAGTAGCAGGCCAGGCACTGGTCTTTCTATCTTCTGGCTGTTCCCAGAAGGAATTTCCGAGCTTTTGAAATAATAGCTGTGGCACTCTCTTTCTTCCATAGAGAGGGAACTTATCCTTAGACTTTTGGAGCTTTGGCTTTGGTTTGGACCTGTACTAGTCCGAGAAGTGAGAGCACCAGGTTGGAAGATGCTGGTTCGAGAGGACCTGGAAAAATGCTAGTAAGAAGGAGGCTAGTTTGCTAGGTTGTAGATCTTCTCCCTTATTCTTTATAGAGGAATCCCCTAAATTCAAATAAGATCTTTCTCCGCTCCGTCAAAAGCCTAATTGAGACAAATCAGCTCTTACTGTTCTCCGGTCTTTGCTCTTGAAGATCCGCTCTTGAGAACCTCTATCTCTTTCTTCAAAGCCTCATTCGAAGCCTGTCAGTCTTACATACAGTATATTACCCGCAAGTTCATCTTCTTTGATAGGATATTAGATTAGTCAGCAATCCAAGTTCCAGCTGGTTCTCAAACTTCAGAGGTGGCCTTACTTCCTTTTTAAAGCAAACATGTGGACATAAAAAAGAAAGAAATTGATAGAATAGAGGAAGATTAATGTGCAGCTGATTCTATACCAGCCGATTCAATTGTTCAGCTACTTCGAAAAAACTTACTATTATGGCTATGTAAGGGGACCGGCTTCCCCTTTTTCAATCACCTCCTACCTTAAGGTAGGCCCACTGCTGAATACCCTCAATCGAAAGGTCAAGGAGATTATATAACCCCATAGTATGAAGAGCTGCTCGGGGGATCGCACCCCTTGGCCTAGGGTATACATTCAGATCTGGAGGCATACCTAATTAACGATAAGAGCAGAGATCTCCTCTCTCCTTCGGACCCTCTACCTCTACTTCCCTTCCGCTCATAAACAGCCTTCCAGCAAGGAGAAAGAGATAAAGAAGAAAATTCTCAAATTCCCACAAATGGTTTGAATAAGCATTCCTTAGAGAGGGAATGTCGGATGAGACACTATTTGGCCTTCTTTCAGGAGTTGTAGATAGTATCACCTTTAGCTGGTAGCTAGCAAAGAAGTTATCCCCTATCAACGTATATAGTTGAGGGCAAACCGAGGGTTTACCCGCAGCTTCTGTCCATGAATCCTCTTTCGCTTGGTTACGGGACTAGAGCGAATCGTCTCTTGTGCTACGGTCTAATATATGTGTCAAAGAGCGGATTCTCTTGCAGCGGATACGGGGCATGCCCCTGAGCCTATTGATTCAATTCCTAGCAAGTCCTGTCTCTCTCCTTCACTTAAAACACAGCCTATGATGATTCTCAATTCCTTTTTTTGAAACTTCAGTAGGCTCCCCCTTCTTTGGCGATAAGGCTCATCAGTAGATTGACTACGAGGCCGAAGAGTCTTACTACAGGGGTTACCACTCCTGCAAGACTGCTTTGGGTTCCAGAGTTGTTATAAGGGCGGGACGGCGAGAGGAGGAAGCTACTACTACCGGGCGAGATGTTAGTGGAAAAGAATAGGGTTCAGAGGAGAGGTCACAAGCTACCACTACTACGTAATCTACTTCTACTGCTACTTGAAATCGATTCTCTTTCATGACTCTCTTTCTCATTCTCTTTCCACCACTAGTTAGAAATAGACTAGAGCATTCCCTGGAACAGGCCGTAGAGAGGTATTCAACAAGCGCCACTCAACTGCGCTAACTAAGCCCTCCATAGAAGTTCAAGGAAGTAAAGCTACATACTACTGGAAAGAGATGGGCTTTCTCCTTTCTATTTCTTGCGGGCTATTGATTTCGGGTTGAGACTTTGCTTGCTTACTTTCACGCTTCCTTCAGTGAGCTACTTAAGGTTTAAGGTAAGGGGCACTCCTAGCATAGATTACCATTCTAACCTGTCTTTGCTGGTAGATAGATGCGCTTAATTAGTTACCTGAATTAAAGAGGACTCTTGAATAAGTTGACTTCGCCTGGGCGTCATCTTTCCTTTCATTCACTAGTTGAGTACTTCCTCCTGTCAGATAGAAGCTTTTCAAAGGGTGCTTCGCTTCCAGCTCTTCTTGTTCGATACCGCTTCCCGTCCTTGTAAATATCATCTCTTACCGCTCTTATGGATCAATCGGTCAACTGTAGGAAACTGGCCAATTGCTGTCAACTGGTATCGGTACAACCACGAATCTCTTGTTTTCTTTGTTTACAGCTGGCCTTACTTAAATAGGAGTTCCTGCTTCTAGCTAGCTCAATCAGTGCGCTGGAGTTCCGTTCTTTCAATCTCTCCGCCAGCGCCAGGGAAGCGCTCTTCGGGCTGAGGTCCAATTCATCTCGTAGGCTTATTGTAGAAAGGAAATCTTCAATCAATCATCATCTACATTATATAATAATATAATATATATATATAAGAGATGAAGTGGGAAAGGCTTCCCTCGGTACAGCGAGGGAGGAACCAAGCCTTCGCTCGATCACCGAACCGCCAGTCTTAACTCCTTGAATCAGTCAGCAAATTAGTAAGTCCATCAATCTGTAGTGGAATAGTCTCACCAGCCCGTAGACTAGTCCAGTAGTGGGTGAGTAGAGTCTGTGCTTTGGTGGGCACCGGGCATCCAGTAAGAAGAAGTAGCTCCGCCAACAGCGCACGCAAGCTGCTCAGGAAGAGCACAACTCTAACTAGCGAAGGGAGGTGATCAGCTCAATTGAAAGAGAGGGATACTCGCCTCTTTTCCAAGAAAGCCATGGGAGTCCACGTTTGCGTGGGGCCGGGTACTTCTCCTTTATCCCTTGCCTTGCTTTTTTGCTCGGCCACTCTCTGTTCTTAAGTAAGGGTTCCCCTCTCTCAAAAAAAAGAATATGTTAATCGTTACCGATACCAGGCAGAGTTGCTTTTCCTTGCTCCAGAGGAGATTGGTATTGGTAGAGTCGCATTCAACCCCGTCTTTTTGCCCTTTGGCTGGTAATCACATCGGCCATAAGGTGGTCTATCACCTCGGTTGGGGAGAAAAGCTTTTTTGTTGTCGGAAAATCCCTCTCCGCTTTATTAAACTCTTCTCTTAGGCGAGAGCTCACTCAATTCCTTTTTAAACTTTCGCAAAGCTCTCCTTTCCTTAGAGTGAGTTGGTTTTGAATGAAAGCAGGTTTCATCCTGACTTTCATCGGGGACAGGTACGGGGTCTGGGTCGGTCGATACGATGAACGGGAAATCCAAAAATGTTGCTTCATTGAAGTCCCTCATGGAAGAAGAATTGGCTGATGTAGAAGGCTTATTTGTTATCGTATCCACCACATAGTTTACATACTCAGACAGGCTGACTCCAGCGCCTATAGTCAGAAGCCCTTATAGCAAGTGCTAGCTCTATTTATCCTATTGGGATTGGAGCAAGAGTGGAATGGAAGAAAGAAAGCTGTCCTTATCTTCTTCTTCTCCTCCTCCCGACATGAAGGAATGCCCGATAATCCTTCGGGGGCTGGTATGTCCTTTCAGTTCTGGTCTGGGGAACGCCGATCAGAGAAAGCACTCCTATACTGCCTGGTGTTGATTCGGCAATTTGCGTCTAGTGGGGAGCTTTGTCATCTCAAAGAATAAGCGGATCTTCCCTTGCATGCGGATCTTAAAGTCGTGGATCTTTTGATGGCCGGTAGCTGCTTTCTGCTCTCCTTATTAGTGCCAACTCCGCTAGGTATAGGGAGGGAGTCTTCTACAAGTCGCATTACTGGTCGATGACCTGATTTTGGAAGCAGTCGAGATGCCTTTCCTGGGGGAACCCTTCCTTGCATTCTTTTATTGTATTCGCTTCAATCGCTCCTGAATCGGGGGATCAAAGATCGGAAGACTTTCCTTTGCCCTTACTCTATTAAGAAGGAAATTTCCTGGTCTTCACTCTTCGCTCCTAACTCATTTACGCTTTTGGTATTGACTAAAAATGTCATCCGGCTCCTCATCTATTGAACTCTCGGCTTACGCAATGATCGGATCGGAAGAACTCTTTTCAACCGCCCATGATTGAGACAAGCGTAAATGAGAAGAAATTCTTTTTCATAGTCTGTTAATTTTCTTCTTGTTGCATCTCGTCGATACGATAGGTTGATTTACCTTACTAGTCATATGCCCTAAAGGTTTACTGTCTGGATGGTACTTTTCAACAGATAAGCGAATCGCGCTCAAGTGGTGGTTGACGAAATATCTAATCCTCGTTTTCCCTGTCTGGTGTGGTCTTCCGCTGTCCCTTTCCGCTTCACGCAATAGCACGCTCCGAAGCAAGCGGGCTTCGCCGGTAGTAGCCTCCTGAATTTGTCGAATAGCTTCTTTCCGGCAAAGCTTACCAATCCTACACTCCTTTCTTCTATGTCTGGTGGAGCTATTCCCAGACAGCCTGAGAGCTGAGTGAGGACCTTATTTGACATGCTTTTTTCCTTCCAAAGCGAAATAATCACTCCTGTAGCTTATTGCGCTCGATCTACATCCTACCTAACTCGATTAAGCTTTTCTTCTTACACACAGAAGGTTTTTGCTCTCGTATTGCGGGTTTTCCACTTCGTTCAGTTACATTAGGGCTTTATACAACTCTACCTTGGTGATTAAGTTCCGCTTTAGTTGGTGTGAAATGAGCGGATTCTGGGATAGGAGGTCTTGTCGGTATGGAACCTACCCTTCCGGAGTGAAGGATTGTCATCCTATAGCCGAGTGTTTTTAATTTGGTTTAGAGTCGAGTGATGAAGCTCATGATTCTGCCGTTAGTG